CGCACGCCCGCCCCGCCCGCACGCCCGCCCACCTGTCTGTGGCTCCCTGGACGGCAGAGTGGACAGCTGCAGCCAAGCCAGGTAAGACATCCCCCGAAAATAAGACCTAGTGTCTTTTTTCGTAGAAAAAAAAATATAAGACACTGTCTTATTTTCGGGGAAACGCGGTACCATAGCTTTTTTTGTTCTTTACTTAGTCAGGAAAATACTTTGTATAAAAAATGTAAAGAAATAAAAAAAAAAAAACTTGCTGTCCTTCTGTTGAAGGAGCCTGGCCAAAATGTGTCATCTGAACAATGACTGCATCCAATCAGCTGAGGGTGCCGGCTGTAAAAATACAATAGCGTAGCTGGTAAGAATACACCAGTCCAGGCCAAACAATTTGTTTTTTTCTCATTGAGCGCACAGGGGTGAAATTCCAGGTTTATGGTCAGCTTTAGTCTGTAAGTACAGCACTAACTTCCATTTCTCTTTTGTTGTCTGACAGTTTGCAGAGAAATTCCAGGAAGTGAGGGAGGCTGCTCGACTGGCAAGGGAAAGATCTCAAGATAAGACTGAGCTAACAAACCCAGCCCTCAGTATGACTCCACCACAGGTAAGGCATCCTTCATACAAGTGTGCTAGTCAGAGGAAGCAGAGAGCTTTTCCTGCTAGACAGTATGTGGTAGACAACTAGACTAAGGGGTCTATTTATAAACAATCCTTAGAGCCATTTGTCATGCAAATTGTTATGTGTGAATTGAGGCAAAAATGTATGCTTTAAGTATATTTCTTTTTCAGGTCAAAAGTAATGTAATACCACATTATGGCCACCAGGCAGGGCTGTGGGGCATAGGAAATAAGTAATCAGCTCCATCTAGTGGCCATAATGTGGTTATACATTACATTATTTTCAACCTGATAAGAAAATACAGTATACTAAGAATGTTTGCTTTTGCCTCTATTCGATTGGCACTACGAATTGTTTATAAACAGACCCCTAAAACTCTCAGAAATTGTGCCAGTGGAGAAGAAACTAGTATAGGACTCTACACTTTTCAAAACTGTTTCTGTGCCATCCTAGTAATCCTCCTTTGGGAATTGGAAATTGAAACTTTAAAAGCCATATTTGTGTTTTTCCATAAATAATAACTTTATAAAATAGTTTTCAGTATAAATAAATAGATGATCTTCAAATACCAATCGATAAATAAATAGTAGCTAATAAAATAACCATCAATACAAAGTCTTAAAATATTTCAATCCAAAAGCGCAAAGCAGGCCACAGATGCCTTCAGTGTACCATAAACTAGTGCAAGATCTTCCAATTAAAGTGCATATGCTATGCTGTGAGTGACACCTTTCCCCATCCACGTCTGACACCACTTGTTCCAAAACGCATTTACTAGATAGGGTGGACCACTACACAGGAATGTTCATAAAACACGCAAATAAGAGCATTTATTTCTGCTTCCAATCGGGTTCTCTAAAGTCTGTTTCACCAGTAATACCTTTCTCCTTCTCCCCTTTTAGTCAGTGGCTCATAATATGTAGTCATAAAGAAGCAATAAAAAATCCATAGTGTAGTACTAAAAAAAGGTATTTTATTAAAAACGAAAGTTAAAAACACACCCACAAGAGTAATGGCACAATCACCATATAGGATCCTCCTCCCCTTTGTGTCCTGCACCGCTGACGCCCAGTTACACCAATTCCATATAGAGATATAGCAATTGTTTGTTCACACACTGCTACAGTGGGTTCCCTCACTTCCTGATATCTCGGTAATGACGTCAGTGTGTCTCCACCCACTGACACGTTTCATCATTTGCCTTCCTGCTCACAGCAGACTGTGAGCTGAGCAATCAGCGGTTCGTGATCCCTCAGCTCTCTATCTATAGAGCCGATATGTGATGCATGCAGTGTACATTTTACTCTCCCAATACTTCTCCTTTTAATGTCATTGAAAAAAATCTTATTTATAACTCTGTCTGCTCTCTTCCCACATTCAAATACTTTGCCTTTTTCGCTCTGGGGTGATGGACACTAGCAATGCCATATTCTGGCAGTATCATAGCCTGGCGCTTCAGCATCTAATACCGTGCCAGGCGCTGGAGAGGCCTACTGGATTAACCACTGTCATCTCAGGGCATTGAACAGATGGGAGAAAAACTCACTGTTGGTTTTAAACAAGCTGATACATGATTATTGCCCTGGAACTACAGGGAAGCAGAAAGTTAAATGAACATGAAAAATGTGCTTTAGAATCGATCAACCGTTTTGAAACAAGATGTTTTCTCAAGTGCTTCTTTTATATTGACATTGAAACTGGTGGGTTCCTTTCATATCAGTGGTCTTCCCTCTGGTCTTTCAAATTAAAGTGATTGCTCAGTTAACCCACCTAAGGGCCACAACATTTTACTTGTATTATCAGATTTTCTTTTTCTGGATTTTTTTTTTTGTTCTAGCATATTATGCATTTTACTGCGGGGGGCATAGGGATTTAATTTAGTAACAGATGTGAATACATATACTTTTTTTTTTATTGGTTTTAATTAAGGACCCCTTCACACTTTTGCATGTGTTGTAGTGTGCATTAAAGGAGAATTATGAGGCGAGTGATTTTCACTCAGCCTCATAATCTGAGCCGAACTGTGACATTGAAACTGTCACAGGCCGGCTCAGTAGATCGGGTAGTGAGCGAACACATATCGTCGCTCGCTCACTTCTTGATCTAACCCTGCAGAGAGCAGTGACTGTCACTCGCGGTTCCCTGCAGGGATTCCCCCCTCCCCTGTCCGATTCTCCAGCGCTGACTGGCGGAACGGACGGGGGAGGGGCGGGCACAGCTGGCTCTGCCTCTAGATAGGCGGAGCCAGCTGTCAATCCCGCAGCTGGGTGGATCTCGACAGCAATGTCGGGATCCGTCCCGGCTGCGGCGTCTCAGTATACCGCGAGCTGTAGCTCGTGATATACTGAGCTTTGGGTCACGGGAGGACGCTAGTTTATGTCCTCCCGTTACCCTTAAGAGAACTATGGGGAAAAGCCCTGACCCCATAGTTCTCCTTTAATGTGTGGCACAATGTGCAGAGTATGCAGGCTGCAGTGCGATACTATTTATTTTCAATGGCACCCAAATGCGCATACATGGCCAAAACAAATGCATCTGCCACCTAGCCTACTGCAATGCAAAAAACTGAGCAAATGACTAGGACTTTAAAGGTACCAAAATAGTTACACAACCATATACGTTGTTAAAAATACATCAATATTTAATAGTGTATCAATTTAAAAGTATCATAGAATCGGTACACATAATAGCCTTTGTCTTGGGATTGGAGAAAAGGAAGAGGATGGATCCAATCTTTGCCAGGTCAGAACAAGCTTTGCTGAAACTCTGCATTGAAGTCTAGATTGGCCGCTTTGTCTGAACTTATGATGCATACTTATATGTTTAATTACACTACTATGCAATACTGTACATAGCTTGGTTTGATTACATTTTGCTGGATGTCCCATGATTTGACTATGTACAGGGCAACCGCAGGCATGTGTTCAGAGGCCGATCTGATGAAGATTAATTTATTGACACAAAGTGGAAACAAGCCCTAGATATGTGGCATGGACGGATCCTTACAATATAAATATAATACTCCATTTCCAGTAGTTAGTTTAAAAAAAATCATGTGGATGTTTTCTCCAACTTCTTAAATTAGTTCAACACCGCTTTAGGGGAGTAGTACAAACACAAATCTAAATTGTAGCTCTTGCAGACCCTCATGTGATCTAAACAGTCCCTCTGCAAAAGAATAGGATCCAGGTTTTAGCTATTAGTACTTGTATACACATTCATATCTCCATCTCCTAAAGAAGTGGAAGTCTACAAAACGCATTGAGTGAAAAATAGTTGCACCTACCCACATGATTATATATATATATATAT